CATTAACGGGAGTAGTGGCGAAATACCTCAATAGCATCGTTAATGTGGTCTGTAGGATCTGTAGCGGTCGCCATTGTTGCTATCCTCACCAGTTACCCACCGGAGTACAGCTTGACATCAGCATGGTGCTGATTGGCTAATCGCTAGACCCCTGGCGTTCATTGGTCCGTCCATCGTTTGGACGAGATAAATCGCAAATTCATTGAAGTATGCCAGACCAGAGATGCAAGCCTACTCAGTTGAGTGGGCGGGGTCTATGGTCTGGAACCAGGCTACCATAAGCCATATTATTACAAGTGGACATTTTAACTTTCAAAATATACTTGAGGAATTTCAAGTGTAATTTCTCTAAGATGTCTACCTTTTCAAACCCCCATACCTCGCAAGCATACAATATAACTGGCATCACCAGCCTATCAAAAAGCTCTAGTCTAATATATATTGGTAAATCAAACTTCCTACATTTGCACAGTAAAGAAAACATAGCTCTTGAAGCCCGTTTATAGAAATCCTCAATAGCAAATTTGAAAGACCCGTTGTGGTTGAAAAGTATTCCTAAATATTTAAAACTATGTACAATTTCTAGCTCCTCGCCATTACAGAGGAACTGATACTTACATTCCTTAGTCTCTGTGACATATTAGGATGATTTTACGACTATTTGCTTTAGATTTCTTACATATAGCTCCTTTAACTGAACCTGGTTGATTCTGCTGGTACTGCACCATGTCTTTGTTGAATATTATTGAAGTTATGTTGCTGTTTGTTTCATTTTTTTGGACAGAAAAAGTATATGTATGCAGTGGATTGATGTCGAATGTTGAATGTTGACGTGTCTCTGTGTGTCCGCAGCAGCAAATGAAATGCCCTGGCTGATTCTCGTGGTGTTTCTGGTGACACTTCTGGTGACATTTCTAGTGTTGTCTTTGGTCCTGCTGCTCTGCGCCAAGAACCCATTCGGATTCCCAGACAGTTGTCTCTGCTGGAGAGAGAACAAAGATGTGGAGCCGCCTGTCGAGGACCCCAAATTCAATGGTAACCACTAGTGGAATGTATACAAGCACATTTACTCAAGTACATTTTTGACTTACTTGTATGTACGTACTTTCATTTTATGCAACATATCCCTCCACTTTGCTATATTTCAGAGGCACTTATTGTACTTTTTAGTTCCAAATATATTAATTTTTGTGTAGTTTACATGAAGATCAGCAACAGACACTGTAACAGAGCACAGTTTAAGATAACCTCTCATGCATGGTTTCTTACACTATTTAAATATGTGTAAATTACGAAAGTTTAAGAGGCATTTATTGCCAAAGGAAGTATTGCTGGTATTACACAAAAAATGTTTTTTCACAGAAATTAAAGTTTCTTTTTTTCATAAATGTGCTTTCTTGCCTGAACGTGTTGAAGCAGGAAGCTTATTGATCATATCTGCTTTCCTCCCGAACAGAACAAAGCCGTCATCAAGGCAGCGGCCTGAACATGCTGGTTTGTGCTCAGTTTCATGCATTTTGTGTTCTATTTAGATTGAGATTGAGATCAAGATTGTAGCTGTACTGTAGGTGGACAGTCAGAGGGCCTTGTAAGAAGCAAACACACATAAAGGTCAATGACAGCAAAAAGGTCAAATGTTGATCACAATTTGTAGGTAAAAATGCTTTTAGAAAGATGCTTTTAGAAGAATTTCATCTGTCATTCTAACATTTAAGATTTTTACTTCCTCCTTCTTGTGTGTCCTCTCAAGACATTAACCATATGTGAGGAAACTCCCATGATGACTCAAAGTCCAGCCACACCAGGAGATCCAGCCCACATCACGCTTCCACTACCAGACACTGAACACGAAGGTAAGATTCAGTATGTGATGCCCAGCTACTGTGCGCAGCCTGTGAAGGACATGGCTGGGCTTTGTTCAATACATTGTGATGTCCGACATCACTGGTCCTCTCCTGGTGCATTTTAAATCCTCCTCCTGCTCCCATGACATTCTTACTACAGTTTTTTGACAGATGTTTTTACTGCATACCTCCCTGCTCTCCCCAAAACTGCAGTTATTAGGTCACTCAAGCACCGCCCACCAGCCCGAGCAAACTCTCTCATTTTACAGCTAAACAGTACAGTAAAATATGTTTCAGAGATAATTTGAGGTGAGAAATAGGCAATGCTGTAACAGAAACTCGATTCATATTTGATCAGCTTTACCTTGTTTGACAGTTTGACTACATATGACGAAGTGATTGATGTGATTAAAAGCTGCATTAGAGACTCCTTGGCTCTGATTTGTTGTTTTCACTCAGCCGCAGTTGATTTATGCAAATGTCATCAGAGGCACTACAAGGTGGCAGAGGAACGTGATTTATTTTCTCCACAGATTATCTGTCTCATGTTGTTCTGTGAACAAGATTCCGAAAATATGACAAAAGGTATTTTTTAAAAGTTGCCTACTATAGTAAAAGGCAGCTTAGAGGGGTTACGGCCCATTCTGAATCAAGCTGTAATGAAATCGTCACCTTCTCAGTGGAGCAGTTTCTGTACTGTGGTGAGATGTGAAGGCAGATTATCAAAGAGACATTTTGCCTCCTGAAAGTAAGAAACTACTTTCTCCACAACTGTAAAGAAACATGTGTAAACATGCTGCTTTGAAATAGAATCAAATCAAGACTCCAGGAGTGTTTATGAAACTGCATTTTTGAGGTGGTGAAAAGAAAGTAAAGAGAAACTGGTAATATGAGCGACAGAGAGGAACGCTGCCTGAAACATCACATTTAAAAAAAAAGGGGTAGCAGGAAGTGTAATAGATTAATTTCATCTAAGATCTCAGAAGCCTGTTCAGAAATAAGAGCTACAAAAGATATGTTGTTAGCGAAAGTCACAATTAAGGCAAAAACCAGATCAAGAGTTTAAGCTGATCAACAGTGACAAGAAAACTGAGAAATACAGATATAGTTGTATTAGGGGATGATACATTTAAATGTCTGGGGTCTTCAGTCTCTCAAATCTGTCTGCATACGAGCATCCACTCTGCTTAAGTGTCCTGAGCAAGACACTATCTCCTTTACAGCTGATGGTTAGAGAACACTTTTAAAGACCTCACAGCAAGAGGGTTCCTGGTTTGAACCTGAGGTTGGGGGTTCTAACCTGGGGTGGGGGAGCCCTTATGTGCGGAGTTTGCATGTTCTCCCTGTGTCAGCATGGGGTTTTCTCCGGGTACTCCAGCTTCCTCCCACAGTCCAAAGACATGCAGGTTAATTGGTGACTCTAAATTGCCTGTAGGTGTGAATGTGAGTGTGAATGGTCGCGTGATAGTCGCTTGAATAACACCAAATGTCTGGCTAGTAAGGTAACAAGGGCTGTAAAAGTTTCCTCATGGGAAGAGAGTGGTCCTGTTGGTGGGTGGATAGCATTAGGTTTAACAGATTTTCCAGTAACCCTTGACAGTGAGCTAAAGATTTCCTTCCATTGGTCTGTAATGCAGGACACAACCACAACATGTGTACATGATTTGCCGTTGCTTGTGGGATTCACATCTTAATAGATCCTAGAGGGCCTAACCTTTGTGAAATGAGTGCGGTGTGCTGTTTTTCACTGGATCAGTCCATGTTTTGCACATATAGTTGATTTGTGTACTTTATCAAGGACACCCTCCCAGAGTTCCTCAGGAGCCTCCTCGCCTAGATCCACTTCCCAAAGTGTTTTAATAGAGTTTAAAGAGACAAGCTGTAAGGAATGAATTTGAGAATATATAGATATTAGGGGACGGCGTGGTGGTGTGGTTTGATCCTGGGCGTGGGAGCCCTTCTGTGTGGAGTTTGCATGTTCTCCCCGTGTCAGCGTGGGTTTTCTCCGGGTACTCCAGCTTCCTCCCACAGTCCAAAGACATGCAGACTGGGGACTAGGTTAATTGATAACTCTAAATTGTCCGTAGGTGTGAATGTGAGTGTGAATGGTTGTCTGTCTCTATGTGTCAGCCATGCGATAGTCTGGTGACCTGTCCAGGGTGTACCCCGCCTCTCGCCCAATGTCAGCTGGGATAGGCTCCAGCCCCCCCCCCGCGACCCTCAAGAGGATAAGTGTTTAGAAAATGGGTGAATGGATAGATATAAGGGAAATTTTAAAATCAACTCTAAAACTAACATGCAGCCAGTGCAAAGAATACAGGAAAGGTGTGATGTGTTTTCGTTTTCTGGCAGCAAAATCCTGGCGGCGGCATTTTGGATTGATTGTGAAGACAGAGACTTTTTATTGCAGAGAAAGGGTAGTTGTAGTAATTTAAGCTTGAATGACTGTTTGGGGGTTTTCAGTCGACAGAAAAGGCTTCATTTTAGAGATTTTCCTAAGTTGAAAAAAGCACGACTGTATGATAGATTTGATGTGGCTGTTCAAAGCGAGGCTGCTGTTGAATAACACACAGAGATTTTGTTGCTGCCGAGTAATAAGATGGGAGTAAAGTATGTTGAAGTGTTGCCTCACACAAAGTCCACATTGAGAGGAAAGGGTTTATAATGTTTTTCACATGCAGCTTCTTCAGCGCATTAAGCTGCCAATACAGCGCATCGTGCCACTCATGCCAAACGCTCTTGTGATGAAAAATACATAGAAAATGTCACAGTGACACTTTCTCTCATCTGATTACTAATGTGGTGTACTATCTTCGGCTGCAGCGCTCTCACACTTACGGCGGCAGCCTTTTCATCTCTGCTTGTTTAGCACGCTATTTATCATTGATCAGCCATGTGGCCCACAGAGTGGAGGTGGAAACTGGGAAACAGGACGCCCTCACTTTTTCGCAACAGTCAGCAATTCAGTGCTAGGGGAAATGGCAAATCAGATAGCGAGTGCATGTCACTTGAATGATTTGCATCCTCGTACATCATGTTTTAATTCCTTTGGTAACATCCACACATGTTACACACACAGTATTTATGGTAATATGGAGTGTGGAAGGTTGATGAAGCTATGCAGATTTTCCACTGCATTTAATTTGCTCATTCTCACAGTCTATAAGACTTGAGTAGTTGGCTTTATTTAAAGCAAATTACAGTAGATCAATGCTGTTTAAGTTTAAGTTGTAATTCACCTATTGCTTAAAACAGCCCTGGGTTGTCAATGTTGAAAAAAAGATACAACTGCATTTCCTGTCATTTATGATGTCATGTTTTTCTGTCACGTATTTGTGGCTGAGCTGAAACCCCCCTGTGTTCTAAGTACAGTTGACATTGGGGTGAGGATTACGTCTTCTGTTGCCTTTTAGAAGGTTGTTTTTTTTCACTTGTGTGATTTACTGTTGGTTTCCCTGTTTAACCCCCCCCCCACAAAAAACATTAAAGGATAAGGGTGTCATTATTTTATATTTCCTTAATGTCAACATGTGTTTGAGTCCTTTTCTCAATACTTTTCCACCTTGACTTTAGCATTCAGATTGATGCCCAGCAGTTCCTACACAATATGTAATTCTTTGAGGAACAGTTCACCCCAAAATCAAAAAATCATGGACCTAGACGGCACTCAGCTTGTGGTGCTCAAAGCACCAACAAATATATTTGAAAAACTCAACAGCAATGTCTCTTTCAAGAAATCATGACCTGGTTACTACCTGAGCAGTTTCATGTATGAAACCAACATCTGCCAACTGTATCACTGTGCAGAGGGAAGCGGGCATCTACTGCTAACTCACCTAGCCCCACTGAGCTAGCTAATGTTACAGCTCTGCCAAGGACGCCATTAATGCTTACATCTCACGCTGTCATGATCACGAGCCTCTCATCCATGAATAGATGCATACTTCCACCCTTGGCGGATGTAGTTTGGTAGAAAGAATCTAGTTCCTACATGTACCTGCTCACAACAAGGTCAGTTGTGAATACCTGGGTCATGATTTCTGGAAAGGGACATCACTGTAGAGCTTTTCATATGTTTATTTTTTCAGTGCTTTGGGCACCACAAGCCAAGTGCCATCTAGTTCCATTATATTGGAATAACGACAGTCATCTGTACAGACAATATCTCCAACGCTTGACTACTCACACCAAAACAATCTAGACTGATAAACAGCACTACAGGTAAGAGGAAAATATATACATTTGATTTAAGGTGAACTCTCCCTTTAAGAGAACTGCTTCACAAGATATGTTATTTTTTCAAAGGCTCAGTAATTTCCTAAAATAGCTCTGTACTGTGGTTTTTAGCAAACGTCATTCAAACAGGAGGAACTGGAGATAATGAATAAGTGAACAATGACTAATGAAGAAACACGTTACCCAGTGCAACAGTGTGGCTATTCCTAATAAACTGCATCAGCCTTTGGCCATACATACAATAGTTGTTGGTAGAATCAGTGTATTGTTTGTTTTGACCTTTTTGTTTGTTGACAATAGGAAAAATAGAGAATATCACCAAATGTATCTTTTAAGAGCACCTTAAGCTTTTCATGTCTTTGATTGTATTCAGTCCAGGGCTGATCTCCTGACATCAACCTAAATGTCTCTGCGCAGTTTCTGTATCTTGGTGACCTTTAGTTGGTTTACAGTTGGGTAAACTCTCACAGTTGACCTTTATCCACAGCAGAGTTTTCGGTTTGATTGTCTTTGATTCTCTTCTTCCAGCCACCAGACAAGATGAACCATCAGAGCACTGGCCGGCCATCGTCCTCTACGCAATAATCAAGGAGGTGCCCTTGCGCAGGTGGAAGGAATTCTTACGTCTGCTCTCGGTGACTGATCAGGAGCTGGAGCGGGCAGAGTTGGAGGCCAGTTTTTGCTTGGGCTCAATGGAAAGGCAGTACCAGATGCTGAGGCTGTGGAGCCAGCGCCCCTCTGTGAGCCTGGATGACGTCTTTTCAGCATTGCACTACATGGATTTATCAGGCTGTGCCCAGCTGCTGCAGGAAAGCCTGGAGAAGCTGCAGTGGAGGCCTGAACTGAAGCAAGGTGTCAGTGCAGCAATGCAGGACACCTGAGGCCGCACCCGAGGACACAAGCAGCATACTGTCATACAGTTAGAGACATCAGTGCTTCAACCGTGGATGCCAGTGCCTGGAAAAGATGTTATTGACTGTAGCTACTTGATGGTACAACCACAGAAAACTGCAGTAATGTCACAAATGACTCATACTGAGTAATGCAGATGTAGGCTATAGTGTAATGTACAGACAGGTTACACGTGAGAGGAAAAACCCAAATAAAGGAGCAGAGAAACCTAACAAACGCTGGCTACGGGGATATTTTGCTGGCATGGTTTTGGTATACTTGTCCCCTTAAGGCGCAGACACACCAAACTGGCATCAAAGTGATGACAAAGGTCAACTGTTGCCTCGCTTCACATCGCCTCTGTCTAGGCCAAAAAGTTGCAACTGAACACACTGCAAAGACTATAGCCAACGGCCAACTAGCACATTTGATCTGCGCCTGCGTGAAATAATTCTCCTTACCAACAGGTGGCTGTGGTCTGTATTCATCATTCAAAAAGAGAAACTGAAATACCGACAGGACAGACTCAAGATGCTAACTAGCTAGTTAGCAGGAGAACAAAGGATTTTTAACAATAACAACTATGAACAGTTTCTTCTAAAGAGCTAAGTGGTTATTAACATAGCCCTACCTAATATAACAAGTTTGTTTTGATCTCAGGACCTCTTAACTTTAGTCATTTGTTTACTTTCCTCACTTCCGTTTCTCTACTTGTGCACTGAACTGAACTGCTCCGCTGGCTCTGAATTGGCTGAAAAAAAGTGACAAGAGCCAATGAGAGCTGTGGGTCGAAATTGAACGATGGCTGACCGTCAGCTTGGTGTGTCCGGACCCTTAGACAGCGCTCTCCACCACCAACATCAAACCACCAAATGAGTGAAAATCCTTTGGAATAAAGGTGTTCATCCCTCAAGTAGAGTTCTAGAGACTTGAATGACAAGAATCAATGCCAAAACACACTGAAGCTGTTCAACACCTTACTAAGACGATTCTGTTTTTTCCTTAAACGTGTCATTACAGGGCACTGTAGAGATCCTGATTGGCCTAACTACAATTGGGATATTTCCTATTTTCCTACTTCCTTTAATGCGCTCCAGATGAGTGTGTAATGTTTGAGCTTGTTGAGCTTTATTTTACCTCTGACATGTGTAATGTGGAATGTATTGTGCATATAGAAAATAATGATTTTGTTGTGGTGCAGTCAGCAGAACTGGAGAAATGGCTCCCTCTAATGCATGTGACAACAACAGTAGCATTTGTTAAAATGGTAAATGGACTGTATTTTTGTAGCGCCTTTCTACCTTACCTGACAAAGTGCTTTGCAGTACACCTCATTCAGACACTGATGGTGGAAGAGCTGCCATGAAAGGTGCTGGCCATTTGGGCTTCAGTGTCTTGCTCAAGGACACTTTGACATGTGGACAAGAAGAGCCAGAGATCGAACTACCAAACTTGTTATTAAAGGACAACATGCTCTACCTCCTGAGCCACAATCCCCCATGTAAAGAACATCAGCTTGCAGAACTCTAGTAATCGAGGTGGAGATTTTTTTTAAGAATTAAGGGAAATCCCCCTCCATGAGCTGTACTGTCACATCGCTTAACCTCCAGATTCTCATGTGCCGCCTTTTAAAGGCCAACAGTTGAGGGCTGTGGTTTTACAGCAGAATGCTGAAATTTAAATGTGCGTTGATCCATTATTGTGTAGGTGTGATCAGGGAGCCGTGAAAAGGAAGAAAAACTTCCTTATTTGAATCCTAAAGAGGAAGATAGTTGTATACCTCAAGAAACCGGTGCTTGTTTTGTTCTTTTCTCTTTTTTTTTTTTTTGCATTTAACTGGTCAAAGTAAAGACTCTTCATCAGTTTGATAATTTAAACTGTGTGAACATGTTAGTGTGCATCTGTGATGTTTGAGCTGCATGTCTGACATCGCCTTCATCTCCTTTTGAGAATGAAAGTCTGGTGTTACAACTCAGCCACTCATTCTTCCTGCGCACCCTCGTGAGGGAAGAAAACCAAAATCCCCAAAGGACGTCAGATTTTCAGTTTCCTGCAAGTAAATGGTGTCAAGGTGCAGTTGGCTGGGTTTTTCCTCGCCACACATATTCCATCCAAGCAGATGGTTTCCCGTTGTGGGGTTGGGGTATCTCACTTTGAGAATTTTTGTGTGTCAATTCAGTTCCTGACAGTAAAGGACTTGGACTTTCCGGTAAATGGAGTTCATTAATAAATGTTAAACATGAATCTAGGTCTGTGGTTTGTGGTGCTGGGCCTTGAGATGTGTGTGTGTATGTATATATTTATAATTATTTTTCATTTGTGACATTTTGTATATTTTAATACAAAGTTCAATGAGTGGATTATTATGCTGACACTGCCAGGGGTAGGAACACAAATGTCTTCCTTTAGTGTCGTTACACAGAATGTCCTCAATAAAAGTTGTGGCCACAAGGTGGGAGTGTTGCCTGAGTGTTTGAACAGCGGCAGCTGGTGTGCGCTTCTGAGCACAGGATCCCATACAAAGAAGATGTAGGCAGGGTGCTTCAGTGGCTTTTATTCTTGGGGTGGATTAGACCAATCTCATGAATTGCAAATTCTGCTTCAGCACAAAGAACAGCTGTCCTACATTGTCCATATTGCTTGGACAGAAAAAAACATAGATACAATGCAAAGAGACTTTTTTTTTAATTTTTCATATTGTAAAATATGTTCGTAGAGCATCTGAAATTCTGACAGCAGGGTTAAATAAACACAAGTGTTTTTTTGCTTTGTAAAAACATACAAACTGCCAAGTAGCTGTATCTTCGGATGAGGGAGGTGATTTTACAACTGTACTTGAATGCACCACTTTGGTCAACTTTTTAATTAGTGAGCTATTTAAACTTTTATTTCCCATGCTGACGTTTAATAGTAGATAAAACACAGAAATCAGTGTTTAATATTATATGTGCTGCGTCTAATCTATTTATGCTAAATTCATTTAACATATAGAGGATAGCCACAATAATACAATATGAGATCATGCTGAGTGTTTTTCAAGCATATTAATCGATATAGCCCCCAAATAATAGCATACATGCAATTTGTGTAAATAGGACATTTAGTTGGAACATTTTCACGTTGTGTCTCTTTGTAAAAACCTCTACCACAAGGTATTTAAACCACCTTTTCTCACTTTCACAGCTTCTCGCTTCTCTCGCTTTCGGCATTCCTAGAAACACCAACCGTCTACTTCTGTCCCAGTTAACGTAAAGGAACAGATCATATCGCCGACTTTGAAGCAGATAAACAACAAAGAGCGCTGCCTCACTCACGGCATTGTGGTCTACTCATAAGCACAAGCGTTAGTGGTTTCCAATGGCAACCGGACCCGTGCTCTCAAGAAGAACCGCTCGCGCATCAAGACGGGACAACAGAGGAGAGCCCGGTGGATTTTATCGTGCTATGACGCTGGTTTCGGTGGGTTTGTGTGTCTTGTTGCTGTCTCTGTGTCTTTCCGCCTGTTGGGGACTTTAAACAAACTTGGCTGCGGCTTTTGTTGTGTGAGCGGACACACCGTGTTGCCCTGGAAACTCTGAGCACGCTATTGAATTACAAAAATGGGGCCCAGGTTTTCTGTTCTCGGGACCTTCAGTAACACAAAATGAAGTGACACCGTATCGGTGAGTTGTTTTCTAATTTAAAAAGTCACATTTTTAGTTAGGTTTTGTTCAGGTTTTGGAGCAGGTAGGCTAAGCACGGGCCAGAGAAGGCAACAAACCCCCTCCACACAGGAGGGTAATAAGTTTACAGTATCCAAAAAAAGTCAACACATTTAAAGTAGGCGTTTATTTTATTAATTTTAACCACAGTTTTTTTCACTTATGTCATTATTTGTCACTGTCATAGTGGTGCACTACATGTTTTGCTTTAGCATAATGTCTTGAAAGTCCCAGTGGGATTTATGGTGGATATATTGGCAGACATGGAATATGATATTAATAACACTCACACTCATCCCCCACTGTTTATGTAAATGAACTGATTCAGCCTGTGAGTGTACAAAACAATGTTAAATGTTACCTGAGAGACACAAACTGGATCTTGGTTAATGTTACCTAACCCTACAGTATATATGCATACACCTGGGAAGATAAAAGGACAGTTAAAGGTCCAGTGTGTGCAATTTAGGGGTATCCATTAGCAGACATAGAATATCCTCCTGTGACCCTGTGTCCTTATAAGAGGACATCATATTTTGGGTTTATTTGACCTTATACTTCTTTCTACTTAACTTAGACCTGTTGTCCTCATTCGTGGACACTTTTTTTCTGCCATCTAGTGGTAGTAAGAGCGCAATACACTAATCCATGAAAAAACAACATGGCAGCCATCTCTGTCAAGTCAGTCTGCAGCTGATCCCGACACAAAAGGTCCAAACACCTGATCTCATTTTATGGTTGAAACTTGTTTATTTAGGATTAATAATGTTTGTGCTTTGATATGGCAACAAATTTGACCAATTTTAGCCACAGTAACAAGCTAAGATGCTGTTAGTCAGAAAGTACTTGTCTGAAGACATTGGGACTTTATTGTTGCCCCATTCGAGGACTTTGGGACTTAATTATCATTGACAGTGTTTAGTTTTTTTACTTATCGGGTCCTATTGATCCCAAATAGCTAGGAGAAATTAAAAATGCATACCAAACAAAGGTTCGGGTCTCAAGAGGATAAAGAATATTAACAACTATGTTTTCATTAGTTTATGATCACCTGAAACAAAAAATCTAGTGTTTGTTCCCTTGAATGACACGTTTATATCTAGGTCTATATCTGTGACCCTTAAACTGGGAGAGTGTCTCCAGCAAATTCCAGGTACATCTGAGGTCTCTGTCTAGAAGAGTGCAGTCCTTGGAACAGCTAAGATGCTATGCAGAACCCTCGAACTCCCAGGCCTCTGGTAGAGGATCCGAGCCCTTATTTTGCAATGCCGGTGCAAAGCAGGTTTACAGTTTCAAACATGTTTGGCTGAAAGTAGATTAAGTCTTTTAGCTGATAAATAACCATAATGCTGTTACTAAACAGAGAGTTGCATCAGTATCATACTTTCAGTAAAAAGATGTCACAAAAAGCCAGTTCCACAATGAGCCAAATATCAGCAGTATAAATAATATTGAACCAGATAATAACAAAAATAATGATGACTGAATTCCATTTTGCTGCTTCAGTTTCAGAGCTCTGATTATGTTCATCCTGTCACACTGTCATGGCTCACTGGCACACTGAAATAACACAGAGCCATTGTTCAATTCCCATTGAGGGACGTTTCATTACAGTATGAGTGTTGATAATTCTGGAGCCAGTTGCAAAAAACACCTTAAGTTAAGGATTTCCTTAAAGTCCTAGTTAAGGTTTCAAAATAACATTGGTTGCATGAAACACCCGTAAGTCTTTTCCGTAAAGGTTTCTTAAAATGTTCACTTAAGTATTTATGGTTTTCCCCTTGTCTTGGTCTTATATTTAAGGAATCCCTAGACCATTGCTCAAACAACCTTAGCATTCAAGAGAAGGTAAAAAAACAACAACAACAAAAAAAAACCAACATGCGTGGGTCCAAGCAAACAAACAATCTCCACGGCATCTTTTACCACTATAAAATCTCTTTCAATGCAGTAAATGAGTAGTTTTTCCTTAACTGAGGGATTCTGTGCAACTGTGTAGGTCCCTCAGCTAAGGAGAAAGTAAACCTCAAGTGTCATATTTAAGAAGAAAGCTAAAGGAGTTTTGTGCAACTGGCCCCTGCTCTTTAAAATAGTAATGTGAAAGTTGAAAAATGACTTTTATCCTCATTTCCTGTTTTTTAATCATCAGGTGACATCAATGTTGTCATCACTGTGAACAGGTGAAGAGAGGAAAACAGCTACAGAGGTCCTGCTGCCTGATGATGACTGCTCTGGTCCGACCTGGAGTTAATGTTTCAGGGCTATGTGAGGATGGAGATAAGCTCCTTGAGGCTGGAGAGTTGGGGAGAGCTACCTCTCTGTACATGTCTGCCTTCAGGACCCATGCTGCCTCCACCGTGTCCCACATGCGGAAACTGAACTCAGGCCTGGATGGGGTGATTGATACTTTAGAAAGCTGGCTCGACAGTCATGGGGAGGACCAGCCCACTGAGGGTCTCAATAAAGGCCTTGCAGCTGTGTTTCTGTCCACACTGTGCCCCAACAATCTGTCAGCCACCATTTTCAAGATGGAGTCTCTCCTTCAGAGTGGCGGGCAGGGCTGCGAGGAGATTTTTGCTCGCTGCACTGCTCTGCTTGATGGGATGCGAAACCCTCATCCACAAGGTGCGACTCGCATGGTGTTGGAGATAACTCGTGCCCTGGCCTGCTTGTTCACAGAGCCTCACAGTATCAAGGGACTGAAGCTTTACCTCAAAACCTACCAGAATAACAAATCTGAAACTGTCTCACTGGTGAAAAGCAGACAAGCTCAGCACCTTCCCAAAATAGTGAAGGCCTTTACAGACCAAGTGCTGCACATACATCCCTCTTTAATATTTGACAGTGAGTGTGTGGTGGCAACAAAAGAGAATGATAAACTAAATGTAGAGATGACTTCTACAATTATTGAGTTTTTGTTGGCTATCTCACCCTGTAATAAAGAAGTGCAGGAGCTCCAAGCAGCATATTTGTTTTTGACAGGCAGGTTTGGGGACAGTGCAGAGGTGTACTCTGCTCTATTGCATCATAATTATTCTCAGAAAATGTCAGAGAGTAGTGCAGAGAAGTCATTTCAAGACTCTGCTGAGAGGACAGCTAGACTCTTAACTAGTCGAGCGGCTGCCTGCTTGTCAGCCGGTGGACGGACTGCGGAGGCGTGCAGGGATCTGGGGGAGGCATTTGAGATCCACCCTGCCACTGCCCGAATTTATTTTCAAAAGCTATTCACAGATTATGGTACAGGGGTGGCTGCTCGCAACCATCTCCGTCAGCAGGCAGAGAGAGGCCTGTCTGGTTACAGAGAAAGGGTCCTCATCCGTCCAGACCTGAGGTCCACTGAAGGAGTCGAGCTCCTGGACCCTGTGATCACACAGTTACGGACTCTGTGCCATTTAGAGGCAGACGGGGGAGGCAGAGAGCTACGGGTACGACTTGCTGACTGTCTTCTCCTCAGAGGGGAACACAAAGAGGCCCTCTCTATCTGTAGCCAGCTAGCTGCCGCCCAAGGTCAGCAGAGCTATCAAAACACAGTGCAGGTGCTTCGTGGATATGCACGGCTTCTCTCAGATGACCGTAAGGGGGCATTAGAAGACTTTCAGGCTGTGATTGAACACAATGCTCCTCACCCGTCCAGCTGTGTGCGGGCGCTCTGTGGCAGGGGGCTCCTGCGCATGATGGGAGGCTTCAACTACCTCACAGCTCTAGACTATGTGACAGCCAGTAGGCTTCATCCTCAGGAAACAGCACTGACTGTTCGCTGCTTGGTGCCATGGAACTACCGGGGGCTGCTGTTTACTGTTTTACTGGAGCAGGGACGAGTCATGCTGGAGGGGAGTGGAGAGCATGAATCCAAGTCCAGGTCCAGTGGTGGCTCCCAGCAGGCCCAGCAGAGGGATCAGCCGCAGGCCCCATCAAAGAGAGACAACCACAGATCAGGGTATGATGTTTGTCTCACATATAGTTTACTCAAAGGCCTTTTTTAGAAGATATTTTAATATGTCATAGTAAAAGCACAGGTGTAAATTATAAAATGAATGAAGGCTGAATTCCGTTTAGCTGCTTCAGTTTTAGAGACCTGTCTGTAATTAGTAACACCTGTGCTTCTCCAGCTATGACATGTCAAGATGTCTGCTGTGAAAAAGGCCCATGACAAGTGACCTGTCCAAAATCAGAAGTTAACTATGCATGTTTTTTGAAATAATTAATTCTGTGGTTAAAGTTAATCTGAATAAAACTACAATTCCCAGTTTATGATCTTTGTTCTATTGAAAGTCTCCACTCATGTTTTCTCTCAATGAAATGCATTTTCTTGCTGTTGCACCTGCTCTCTGCATTAGGACTCCAGCAGGTGTCCAGTCTCTGGCTGTGCTCCTGATGGAGCTCCAGCCTAGTGCTGATGGGTCTCAGATCCTAGCAGCAGATGCCTTGTACCAGCTTGGCCGGGTGGAGGAGGCCTACCGGCTACTACTTTCCATCGGGCCCACCAGTCCTCGAGCTCCCATCCTGGCTCGTCTCGCACTGCTGCAGCTGCACAGAGGCTTTCTGTATGACACCAATCAGGTATGTAAATTTGTTGGGTCCCAAAGTGAGGTGCAGGGGAACCACTGAATCACAATCCCAACTGCAATTTTTGCCCAGATAACATCCATTTAAGAGTTCTGTGTAACAATATCTTGAATCTTCCGTTCTTTTTCTACAGTTATATGAAAACAGAAAGGCCTATTTCATACTCAGTCAGTCAAATTGCTCTCTCTGGACACTTCAATCTTTCTACATTTCAAGAAATAAGAAACCACAGGGACTCACTTACACCCCCTCTAATTTGTATAATGATAATAATGCATTTTATTTATAGGCGCCTTTCAAAGCACTCAAGGACACCTTACAAGACACAGTTAAAAAAAAAAGCAGCCATGTATCCATAGATCATAAAGTAAAAAAATTCCATAATATACAATAAAAGGTAATAAAACAACTAGACAAAAATCATAATTAAAAATATTAGGTATAAAATCATTTATTCTTAAGTGACACAGTAACAAGTTGGTGATGTTTCAGGACCTGTACAACTTTTCCTGTGAAAGAGATAAAGTTTTCATATCTGTCCATTTTCTCTGCAGCTGCTGAAAAAGCTCATTCAGTGTGGTGACACGAGCTGCTTGCGCCCCCTGTTGGCAGTGGCACAACAGAAGGATCGAGCCCTGCTCCAGGCTCACTGCCACTCTGCTGCAAAACGCATCCTGGAGGGCTCGCGAGAGGAGAGCAGCGTCAGGGAGGCTGTGGCATACCTCTCCATCGCTATCATGGCCTCTGGTGATTAGAGCCTGATTGATGAGATGTTTGTGTAGTTTGTTATTGGTCTGATTCTGATTGTTGACTTAATAAATTGTGAGTAATACTTTAATCTAGATAGGATTAGAAGGATGAAGAGAGAGGCTGGCACAAAACAGGGGCTTTGTTTCTGTGTTTGGCTTCAGTTCAGCAGAGCTACATAACTTTCACATCACTGAACACAAAGACGGCAGATTGATTCAGTATAATTTAACTAGAAGACAGCCAATGTGAGCAGAATCAATTTCAACACATATCAGTTCAGTAAAATTGAAAATAATAATGCTGTGAATATTGTGAAACTAATCAAGTAACTGTATTTTACCAGGTGGTGAGGCAGCAGAGTCTCTGCTGGAGAGAGCGAGGTGTTACGCCCTGCTGGGCCAACGAAAGACAGCCATCTTTGATTTCAGTGCCATTTTGAAGGAGCACCCAAAACACGTCCAGGCTCTCTGCGGAAGAGGCTTTACCTATCTCATGCTGAACCAACAAAAGGTATTATTGAGTTCAAACACTTCAAGCCACGTTAGGCAGCTTTACACATTAGTGGCTGCGACTTGTAGTGAAAGGTAAATGTTTGAAGAACTAGACATCTGTAAACAGCAAGGAAAAGGAAGGCAAAAGATTTATCATTTCATCAATTCATACTTAACAATAGAAATAATTTAGGCTAATAGAGTGATCCTGGAATGAGTCCTAAAACCTGGAAATGAGTTAACATTTTAGCACTGCCAGTTCCCTCGTGTCAAAGTCAATGGGTTTTTTTGGACTGTTTTTGAATAGATGCCTGAAATAAGGTCTGTGGTTAACACAAGCTTAAGAAACTTTCACATTTTGTGCTATGACATAAAATATGACAGTAAATTCCTCACTCATTAAATTTGAAGCTTTTATGTGTCTTTTAAAAGGTGGTTGCTTACAAGTGGCTAAATGAGACTACAGAACATCATCACCCTGAACACGGCTTCACAGCATTATTGTGGTACGAGTGTTAAGTCATGCAGCCCTGGTGTAGTTTGTTCATAGCTTAACGTTAGTTTTTTACTCCTGACGATTGAATTTAGGCCTTAAAAATCATAAAAGTGAGTGTTCATTTGTGAAAATTATCTTGTAAGTATCACAAGGTTTTGTTTGCCACAAAACTTATTTTCTGCAATAATCCAAAATCCAATAGAAAAATCTCGTAGGCGTTTTGACAAGGGAACCAGGGCGGCCTACAAAAAAACACTTTATCCCTGGAGCACTCTAAAGAGTCTACAGTAGTGTTTCACAAATGGTGTTATGCATACCCCTAGGGATATTTTGATGTACTGCAGGGGGTACGTGAGGTTTTTTTAATGGTAATTTTAAAAAATATCTGTCATGCATAGTTCCCAAAATATTAATATCACTAAGTGCAAGTGCAAGTGATCAAAAACATGTAGTTCAATGGAACTACAGAGCCAGCTTAGTGTTATTGCATGATGACAAACAATTGGTTTGAAATGTCAGTGTTTTTCATTTACAAGGTTGTTGTTAAGTAAATCAGACACTTATGGCACAGTGCTGTATTGTACCTCGTTATAAAGGCTTTTTTTTCTACCAAATTTTTGCGCTGGTCAGGAGGTATTCAGCTCAAAAAGCATTATTGGAAAAAATTTGAGAACCACTGATCTAGAGAATCTCAGAGGATGCTGTTTTCTTTTACCAACATATTTAAATTTTTGCTGCTAAGAGAGATGTATTTTTATGTAAGAGTGTCCAATGCAGCTGTAGACGATATATATGTTCATTTTAAATATAAAATTCTGCCTTGTCCCTCAGGAATGCACTCATGATATCCTGGCAGCACTCCAGATAAACACTGACATAGTCACCAAAGACATCCTGTCACTCAAGGAAAAGGCACGGAAGCTTGTCTGCGATTGGCTGCATCAGTTCTGTCGGACCAATCTGTCAGACATCCTGCTCGCTAATGCCGTCCCCTGCCATGAGGAGCAGCTCAGAGAGGCTTTTATAATTGGTGGAGCTCTGATGAGGACTGACTGCAGAGACCCCAGATGGCATCTCCTCTATGTGGACATACTCTTAGCCAAAGGTGAGGTGGGAACTTTGCCAAACTTTGCTGATTTATTTCCCAGTGGGATCCTTGATGTCACTTGAAATGATCTGGTCAGGAGATTACGGCATAGGCTGTGTGGTGTTTCCACTTTGATTAAAAAAAAAAAAACATACCAGTGAACCTGGTGCTCCTTGTTTACAGTAATCCTTACTCCTGCTGTTATGGTCCATCTGCTCCAGGTGAAGTTAAGGCAGCAAGCGCTCATCTGTGCCAGGTGTTTGGCCAGGAGCCAAGAGATGCAGTGGCTCAGGCCAGGGTGGGTGTGGTTGAGGCCTGGCACCAGAACTACCGCAGCGCAGCTTGCAGGCTCAGCAAACTGACTGAGAAAGATCCATCCATTCTGGTCTTTCTGCTGGCCCTGATCCCATTCAGTCAGCGAAAACGCATGGCACAGGTAAGCCTACGCCCAGGAATCCTAAAATCATTTTAGAACGAGCAGCGTTGCCAAAGTTGTACTGACTATAGACAGAGAGCAATATAGTGGAGTGTTCTGTCTGATGTTTTTACATAGTATCATTCTTTTTAACTTCACTTTTTATGGTTTAACACAGAGCTCACTGTCTGATGCTGCAGTGGCACCTCCATCAATTTAGGAGGTTCTGTCTGACTGTGTCACAATAAATATTTAATGTGCTTGAAGCGGACAGTAAGGTCAAAAAAGATGGAAAAATATGCATAATGTATGATAATGGAAAACATCAATAAACTATTTCACAACGTTTTTCAAGACAAGGCAACAGCATCTCTCCTTAATCTGGCTAAAGTCCTGTAAATTGGGAGTATTTATTCATTTATAAATTGCATTTTAATTTCTCAGGCAGCAGCACAGGAGGCCAGCAGTGTGTCATCAGCTGGCCAGTGGGATCAGGCCCTTACACTCCTTACTGTGTCAGTACAAGCAGTGGGCAATCACAAACTCCATTATCTTCGCCAACGGGCTGCCTGCCTCGCTCAGCTGGGCCTACATGAGCGAGCCATAGCTGACCTGGACAGAGTTATCCAGAAACACAATGGCTCTGACTCCAGCTGCTCCGAGGACCCCCAAGTCTGGGCGGAGGACCTGTGTCGGCGGGGCCGCAGCCTGGTGCTGTGTTCCAGAGAAGCAGCAGCTCTGGAGGATTTTACTCTGGCCTTGGAGCTCCACAAGAACCAGACCATCCAGTGTGTGGAGGCTGGGCTGGGCAGGCTGCGTCTGGCTGAGTGCTTCCTGCGGGGGGCGCTGCAGCACTATGGGGAGCAGCAGTTCAGTAAAGCTTGGACATTAATTGAATGTGGCCTTGTTGTGGACTGTGAGAACACAGAGCTGCGCAGACTGAGGGCGAAGGTCAAACGAGAAGTGGCCAGCCCCTGCAATGTCAACTAGGATTTATAATCCTAAGTGCACAGGAGCTCCAACTGACCTCACATAATGTAGCCATGTCATTGCCTGTACTTTAAGATGTTGTATTGTGGAGGAACGATCTAACTGATGAGAGATCTTCTTGATGGTTCTTTGAGGCCACGGTGCTCATTATATTCAAATTATGTTTTCCAATTTCAGTCTAAATTTGTAGCACTAACAACAGTGTTTGGAGGTACTCGTGTCCACCAAAGTGTTTTTTCTCAGCTAAGACATTTTGGTTGCATCTGATTGCTATGATACAGAATATCTGCAGAAGAAAAAATGTCGGCACAAGGTAAAGTGCTTGCTCTGGATAAGTGAATGCTGAAGCACGTAGGGAGAAAGCCAAACCCAACGGTCTATGTGAAACATATATTAATATAAATACAGTATATTAAGATATGTCTCTTTCATAGTTGTTGTTGTTCAGCACATGTAAGATGTAATGGTTGGTCTTCATGGTATTTTTCCTTCCTATCCTGTGATTGAATGGCTGGGTAAAAAGTGACAGTGATGAGTGTAACGTTTTTCCCAAAGCTGAACATTTTCCACTCTCAGCATTCACTGAGTGCCTTGTCATGCTGCTGGCATTTGTAACATAGTGCAAATGTGCAGCGCTTCCCTGGCAGAGAATTTTAAAAAGACACTGGCCTCAGGAAAGAATGCTTTGGTGGACACAGCCCCCTTAGTATTCAGTATCTTTATAATTACAACAAAGCAGTATATTGAATGTGAGAGGTGTATGTGAGTGGTAGAGATTCCCAAACACCACAAATTTATTGAATGTTTTATTATCCCGTATTTTATGAACCAATTAACTTTTGGCACTTGATAAATTCTTAACTAAAACAACTGATTTATTGTGGGAACGGAAACAAATAATGATAGTCATGATTATTATATGCTAAGAAGGATATTACGCAACATGACATTGAATATAGTTTAATTCAAACCATCACACCTAGATAAGAGATTCAAGAAAGTGCCCAGTGTGCAGGTTTCATGCTTTTGAAATGGAGAAGGCACAATTTTCTTTAATCATATCCATGGCAGCAAGCACAATTTAGGAAGCATAAATACAGGAAAACAAATAAATACTGGAATGTAGTCCACACCACTGACACTTAAGAATGTTTAAACCCAGGTACAATTTGATACTCATGTACTTGTCTCAGTGCATCTGAAGAAGGACCTGATTTAAAAGGATGTTGAATATAGCATTAAATTTCTACATATACTGCATGTGTAACTTGTGTTGAGACATTACATGTACTTTGGTGTTATGGTATTATGCCAGCACAGTGATGTATTGTGGTTCCATGTTGCCGAAGTAGGATTTCTCCCACTCACTCATCAGGTCAAAATGCAGCGGGCGGTCACAGAAGGTGCAGGAAGCCGTGGCTGGGCTGTTGACCAGGAGCCCTGCCTCCTGCCACACCTCCACCAGTTTCTCTGTGAATGAAACACAGAATGAACAATTAAATCCCAATATTTATTTCTCTTTTACCTCTCTGTCTTAAAACGTAATCTGTGTTTATTTTAGCCAGCCCACACTGAGGTTATAACGTCAGTTTTGTTACTAAAGAAGAACACTTCAAAGATCTCATTGTCATTTATACTGCAATGCAGTATTTGGTGACAAGTGGATGCCAAGAGCCTCATATATGCTTACAGAGCAAAGAGACTCTCAAAGGACAAACATAAATCACTTGTACCAGCCAGTGTCCCCACTTAACTTGATTGGAGATTTACTAGAACAGCTCTGACCTAATTTCGGTAAGGATCCCCTCACTCACCCACAAAGTACTCCATCATGGCGGGCTTGTGATGAGGAGACGGAGCCAGACGCAGCAGCTCCTCACCACGAGACACTGTGGGGTAGTTGATGGCCTGGACGTAGATGTTGTGTTTCTCCAGCAGGGTGTCGCACACCTTGGTGTTCAGCTCAGCGTTGCCCACCTAGAAAATGGATCATGAGAGGGGATATGAGTGGACGCTTTTATTCAGCACAATCAGGCCATGCGTGTTGAAATCAGCTCCATCACTGCAGTCGACTTGGTCTACGGAGTCAAGAGTATGCCACTGGAAATATTACAGAAGTTTCCTGTGTTTAGTTTAAATCGTGTGATACATTTTTAAAAAGTAATCACAATTTGATGAATTGAATTAGCATTTAAATGATGCGTTAAAAAACAGGATAAAGTTTTTAAATGGAATCACAAAATAAATGGTATCACAAAAAGATTAAAGTTTGCATAATTTAAATGCAAATTTAATTAACTTAGTGGCTTATAATTGCTTTTGAAAGATTATAAAGTGGATTCTAATTAAATGATGAAAACTTCTAATTATTCAGGTGGCACACTCCAGACTCATATGTTCTGTGCTGTACTTGTGCAGTCTTAGAGGAGTAGACATGAGGCCTTTTTTGCACTGCAGACATTTTGACTTCTAGTTAAATCACAGGTGTTACTGATAACATTAATCAACATTAATCAGTAACATTAACTGTCATTCAGTTCCCATAATATAATAATTCTCTGTAATAATAAGATAAACTTGTGCTTCCTAATAACTAATATTTCTCTGACCTCAAAGATTCTCTAAATACAAATCCTAGCAACTACAATAGTCAGATGAGGAGTTGGTGCAGTGAGACATGGTAGTGGAAGCAACAGTACTGCTAAACCCTCGTACCCGTATGGGGATGATGTGGCTGGGACAGTTGACCACAGGCAGGCCCTTATCCATGAGCAGCTGCCTCATGTACTTGACATTCCTCTGGTGGGCTCTGCGGAGCTGCTGCCCCTCGGGGCTCCTCAGGACCCGGACTGACTCCAGGGCTCCAGACAGGACCATCGGGGGCAGGGCAGTGGTGAAGATGAAGCCGGCTGCGAAGGAGCGCACTGTGTCAACCAGGGCGGCGCTGCTGGCGATGTAGCCTCCAACACAGCCAAAGGCTTTACCTGGAACAGCAGCAGATGGCACAGAGCATGTGAAGTGAGGAAACATAGATGGGAGGTACATTTATTTAAGTACAAATGTAATGTTTAAAATGAGTATTTCAACTTTATAGTGGTCTACTTTTTCTTTACTGTTACATTTCAGAGGGGACACATTGAATTTATACAGTATATTCACACATATTTTACAGACATTTAAATATGACAGTTGCATAGTTACAGATAAAACTATATAAAATTGTAAAATTGTAAAGGGATGGTTCAGATTTTTAGAAGTGGGGTTGTATGAGGTGCATATCCATAGTCAGTGTATTATATACAGTAGACGTTGGTCGGCTTGCCCCCAGTTTGGAAAGGTGGCAGGAGTGACAACACAGAAACTAAGTAATCTACTACATTGGACGGGGGCAGCAGCAAAACATATTTTAGCCACCTAAAAAACAATTTAAGTGTACAAAACAAACATGTACACTACATTGAGAATAATTTCACTGCTCTACCTTTTTCGTCAGGCAGCCCTTTTTGACAGCTTAATTTCGCCATCAACATCGTCATTTTGGCTCACTGAACATGGGAGCTGCTGGTCTAAAGCTGCCTCAACTAGTTAGTCTGTGCTATTGTGTGACTGAAACACCAAAGTCTCACAATAAGACAAACAAACGAACTGATAGATGAAAAGGTAGACCAGCAGCTCTTCTGTTTAGCGATGTTAAGTCCCTGTTTTTCCCATTGGACTCAATGCTTTCTCAGTGGCTTTGAAGAAATTGATATAACAGCTTCAGTAAAAAGTCGGAAATCACCATCTGATGTCAAGATAAAGCAGTGAAAATATTATGAATATAGTGTACACTTTAACTGATATTGATTTTTTTTAGGTGGCTAAAATAGGTTTTGCTGCTGCCTCCACTGCTTAGTTTTCATAGTGGTACTCCAGCCTGCTTCTCCAAACTGGGGTTGTGTGGACTGACATCTACTGTGTGTAATACACTGACTAAACTGTGCTTTGGTGCTTCATGTTGCTCACATGTCTGTGCTAACATGCCGTTCGTTGTTGGTGTATTTTTGTACTAATGCTCTGCTGTTGCTTGTTGCTTTGCATGGCTTCTCTTCTTGAGAATTTCTGTTTGTTGTAGTTATTGCTGTCTTTATGTCTTCATGCTGTCGATGTCCTGTGAATTTTATTCTTTATTGGTTTAAAAACATCTTGCCGAAGGACTGCAGTTAAAAATTAGCCAGCTGGCTAACACTGGCATATTTACAGAAATGTTGATTAATGTGCCTTGTACTATAATTAAGATACAATAAAATGACTATGGATAAGTTCCTCAAACAACCCCACTTCAAAAGATCAAAACTATTCCTTTAATAACAAGTGTTCTAATAATGATAATAGGGCCTACCGTTATATAATCAATACAGTACAGCCATTCTGCATAATGTGTACTTTTAATACATATATAGATTTTTTTTAATGAAACTTATGTAATTTTGACTCCTAATTGACTGTGATAATGTATTTTTAACATTGTGATATTACTACTTTTACTTAAACAAAGAGTCTGATTGATACTTCCTACACCACAATAATAATGCACGACATATTCTGTTGATATCGGACTTAACTTTTTTTTATTTTGAAGTCCCAAATGCTATAATTTTATTTAGTTAAGTAATATGATGAATTTATACATGATAGATTATTGTTTCTTTGACAAATTATGACATCACCATAATGTATCAGATTGCACCGTGAGTTTTGCGTGCTGATACACCACCATTAATTTGTTGTTTCAGTTTGACCTTCTTTATTTATTGCCAGGTGAACACTTGCAACCATGCCTCCTAAAGTCAAGTGTTGTAATCCAGGATTAGTGTACACCTAATGTGAGTTTGACAGGATTTTCTACCTAAAACCCTGCAGTTGTCATAAAGCTACGCACAGCACCGACTCCCTGATGATGGTGTTATCAGTGCGACCAGAGAGGGAGTAGAGCCGGCACCCGGCTGATAAAACCTCTGCTTCCTCTGATGAGGACTCACTCCTCTCCTGACCTCATTTAACCAACGCTGGGGCAGTATCATGCGTGTTGGGAGCTATTGCAGCCGTGTTGGCATATGACAGGGTCGGTAAGGGCAAGTGGCTGTAAATGGGAGTTTGGCCAAGAGACAGGCAATTAATCTAAGACAGTTTGAGGCCGTTTGCCCCGCCCTTTCAGTGCAATGGATCTTTTTCACAGCAGACATCTTCACTTGTCATAGTAGGAAAAGCACAGGTGTATTTTTGTGTATGTTAGCTCACTGGAATCTGGCACACTTAATGTTATCAGCTTCACCTGTGCCTCTCCTGCAAAGACAAGTCCAAATGTCTGCTGTGAAAAGGGTCCACATTATTTTTCATCACACCTGCCATGTGATAGGGAGGTATGATGAAACAGGCTTCCTTGTGTAGACATTTTAAAAGCCTTACCTAAGGTCCCAGAGACAATGTCAATCTTGTGCATAACATTGTCCCTCTCTCCCACTCCAGCTCCGTGGGCTCCGTACAGGCCCACAGCGTGCACCTCATCGACAAACGTCAGAGCTCCATAACGATGAGCAACGTCGCACAGCTCTTCCAGAGGACATATGGCACCTGTAAGCCCCAGAGAATGAGGTGCTATAATTAGAACTGTGCAATATAGGCGAACAGCAGGAAAGTCATGCTGCAAATGTCATCACGGTGTAAGACCTACATGTATGTGTAACACTATATTGCAAATATCAAAATCTCCCCAGCATCTATAAATTATAAGATGTTTATATCAAAACAACCTTTTTGTGTTTGTGTTTTAAAAAATCCTCCTGGATATGGTCTCAGTCATCCATTCAGTCTGCTTCAGTGTGTGCTTTATGGAGCTGTCAGCAGTGTAATATCACACAGAGAAATTGAGCTGAGGGAGGAAAACTATTTCCTCCCATGGGAGACAGTGATGAATGACAAATAATGCAAGCTGAATAAATGAAGATCATAGTAGTATAAATACTCCAAACCTGGCTCTCTCTTTATTAGCTATGAATTATGAACTTCTTTTCTCTCATTAATTTAAACATTGTGTTTAAGGCGTGTTGTTTCTTTAAATTTTTGAGATGTCTATAGCTTGTGTGCCAGTTTTATGTTTCTTTCTGTCTTTCAGTCTTGGTGCCTTTTATTATTAAAACTATAAATATTTAATGGCTTAACCGTGAGCAGGCTGTCTCCATAACCACATAGCCATCAATAAACAGTAAAAAATATAATGCATCTCTTAAAAAGACAAACATTTATATATTTTTTCATTTTAAAGCTACCGTATGAATCATATTACTCAGTCAGAGTAAATAAATATAAAGATTTACATCTCTTAGCTCTTGATTTTAATTGATTATTGTCTAAATTCTTTCTGCAAATACCACGTTTGTGAGTAAATGCATTAAAAATCTAAATAATCTCCTCTATTACTGCACAGTAACATTTCACAGCACTCACCGTCCATGGAGTGCACAGTCTCAAATGCTACTATCTTAGGCGCCTTGGGGTCCGAGCGTTGCAGCAGCTCCTCCAGGTGTCGGCTATCATTATGGCGGAAGATGAAGCGCTTGGCTCCGCTGTTCCTGATGCCCTGAATCATTGATGCGTGGTTCCCTGCATCAGAGTAGATCTCGCACCCTGTACGCCACAATGAATACACCATGAAACCAGTGGAGGTGACTTCCCTCTAAGCAGTATCAACCCTGAGATAGTATCACCTTTTCTGCAATGGTTGAAATGTGACATATGAGGTCAGAGATCAGTATTTACCTGGCAGCATCTTCGCCAAGGTGAAGAGGGTGGAGTCATTTGCCACGAAGCAGGAGGAGAAGACCAGAGCGGCGTCCTTTTGGTGCAGGCTGGCCAGCTCCTTCTCCAGAGACACATGGAAGTTACTGGTGCCTGAGATGTTCCTGGTCCCGCCTGCGCCTGCACCGTGCCTGTCCAGGGCATCTCTGAGATCATCAGAACAAAAAAATAAAAAATTAAGTGCATATACTCCATGCCGTGAAATTTTCTTTCAAATTCAGTCTCTAACATCAAAAATAACCATGCCAGGTGCTCCAAACCCAACTTACTAATAGATTTACCCCTACATGTACATAGCAAAACACAAATGGTGCAATGGCTGCAGTTTCAGGTTTGTTATTTGCCAGAGCTGTAGAATCAAGTCAGACTTGAGACTTGAGTGCCATGAGAATTGATTAACTTGAAACATTGAACATTCATGTGAAATCTGACCTGGTTTAATCTCAGAAGAATATACAAAAATCAGTGACATGGGACCTGCAGGACCACTGGCTATCTTGGCTGACATTACTGCCTTTAAGAGGCTGCGCCTTTACATCAAGATATCTAAGCGAAAATGGTTCTATGGGTGCCCATGAGTCTCCCCTTCACAGACATGCCCACTTTATGCTAGTCCTATGCAGCTTTTTGCATGCAGTATAAATGTGTTATTTTTAACCTGTTCTAAAAATGGTGTACTTGAATATTTCTGCATACTAGGGTTCCTAAACGGTCTTAGAATTGCATAAATTGTGTATGACTGGAACGCTGAGACACAAGTGGATTCAAAGAGCCCAATTTTATCCATGTGTGATGATGTTAGCCCCCACAGTAGCCATTTCATTGTAGTGAGACCATTTTTGAAACTTGACCTCACAGTATAAACGACCTACTGTGAAACTTTACAACCACAAACTGGAGACACTGAGCAATAAGAGGATGTTTGGCTTTTATAGGTGTATTGACAATAAGGAGGGTTCTGAGCAGTTTCAGGAATAGATGTGCTCGCCATCCAATTGCAGAAAAATGCAGTCCTTACAGAAATCTCCAAATCTAAAAGTTAACTTATGAGACATAAATGCGCACACTCCCATCATAATGTTCTAAACCCCTATACACTATTAATTTTATATGACGAGAAAGACTCTACACAAAGTGCTCAACAGCATCTCAAATTAATCTTCAGGTTCCCAGTTTTCAGGTCATGTATACCACTGCTATGTGGAATATACCTGCTGTCTCTCCCTAAAGAGCCCCTGTCTCGCCTTTAAGAAGACAGAAATGGGTCAATGGTGGGTCTCTAAGGGTTTAAAGGACTCCACTTTGTAAAAAATACACTATTGTTAGACCTTTAAAGCAAAATGCAGTCAGACTGTCTCCTTTTACCTGATGGCACCGAGGACCTGTGGGTGCCGACTCATTCCCAGATAGTCGTTGCTGCACCAGACGGACACCTGGGAGCCCTCCCGCCCAGAGATGGAGTAATCCTCGGCAAAAGGGAAGACTTCAGCACTCCTGTTCACGGTCTTGAAGACTCTGTACGTGTGGTCGTCCTTTTTCTCTGCAATCTTCTCAATGAAGAAGCGGTCATAGTCGTAGCTGGGGCCAACTGCAGGGGCGATAGTGTTGACTTTAAATCAGTTACAGAATCCAATGAACAGCTAATCTACTTAGGCAAATAAAGGAACATAATTTACTAGACTACATCATAAAAAAATGTTAAACTAACCCATGTTGTCTTTGAGGAGGTGGGTGACAGTGTTGGTTTGATCTGATGTTGGGAGGAGTGAATCCTTTAAACCCTTCAACAGAGAAGTCATCAAACCTGTGAAAGAGGAGTGCACCTCAGTAAGTGTCACATCTTACTATTTTGACTTGTATTCTCACCTCTAGCATCATCACAGCTGGATAAGTCTACCCACCTTCTTGGACATCCTCTTGGACTTCAGGGCTGGCTTTGACCATCCCAATCTGAGAGGTGACAAATGGGCAGCCCTTCGACACAGACACGGCCACCTGAGTGGCCGTCTGAGCAAATTGCCTCTTTTGGTCCACAGTGGGAAGTGGGTGACTCTTGGGTTTGGTGGGTGAGATGCTCAGGTTGGCAGCCAGAGTGGCCATGCCACTCACGCTGATCTGGCGAGCAATGATGGGGCATTGATTGGCCATGGACAGCAAGGCAGCTCCAGTTCTCCTCAAAGCCGGCATAGGCGCCGACTTTAGGAAGGGGCAGTGGTGAAGGAAGGCAGCCATTGTACTTCAGCTGTTCCTACTCTGAGACAGAATCAAAGAAAGGAATTTCATTTTAGTCTACACCTGTAAAACATCCAAGGCAAATGCATTATATCTGAAGAGAGTATGAATTTCATTGCAGTCAGGATATGTAAAAGAATGTCATGGATTTACTTCTGCCTTAAGAAACTGTAGCTCAAAACTTATATCCAATCCCTTATATAGTCAGGTAATCAAAATGTAAAATAAGGCTGACTGAAAGTAACAATCCTATCATAGTTTACAAAGTTAAAGATGTCCAGAGGGGGAGGAAATGTGTGTAGTGGTTCCGTTTGGCGACAGAGAGCAGTCAGTGCCTCCTCCAGGGTGCGGCAGGTTGCTGCTGCTTATCTTAACTCTGCAGGCGCTCAAGTGCTGCCCTGACAGACGTCATCAGCTGATCAAATAATCCATGATAAAACACAGCAGGGATGCATTTCTTTTCTTATACATATATATATAACTAACATTTCCCAGCTGTTAAATGTTTGTCAGACTCAGAGGTCAAAATTAATGTTGAGTGTAAAATAATCCACCAAATTATAACAAAAAGGAAACAAAAAAAGAAAAGAAAGTCTATCCAGGTTTTATTTTACACATGAGCACCTTAATGTATAGTTAAGTTTACAAACAAAGGCTGCCCATGTCCCTTCCCTCATAATCAGCTGTGGTCAGCAGATAAAGCAATTCTTGGGATCAGTTTTTCTTGTGGTTAGATGTTATCTTTAGGTCGGTCCGTCAAAGACCTTTAAAACACCACAAGTAGGTCAAAAGTTTGTGTTTATCTTACTAATGTTTTTGTTGTTGATGTTGAATATATTCAACTATTAATCACATGCAAAAAAGCCACATATCATTTTGTTAGCTGTAGCCTGTCGTATCCACACCTCACGTTTCCTCTCATTGACTGTCAGCAAAAGTCAATTAGATACAGACTGTGTGTGTATACATTTATATTCATTCATGTTGTGTGTTCTCCACTACATGGAGTAATAAAAAAAACTTACATGGACATAAAGAAGTGTCAGATTCAAATAAAAAAAATTAAGAAGTATGCTATATTTATTGCTGTATGTATAGTGTGTAACAATAAATAATGTTATATGGCAATGTATAGCAGTGTACAATAACACTGATTCTAGTAATATTTATGATAGTAATAGTATAATTACCACCGCTGCTGTTACCACTACTGAAAATCCAAATAATAATGATAATGCTTAAACGACAACAATAGCAGCAACAAGATCAATAATAATAATAATATTAATAATCATAATAATAATAATAACAATAATAATAATAATAATGAAAAAGTTGAGAAGCTGACCTGTTGACCTGCACTGAGGACGAACTTCAAAACAGCAAAAAGAAAGTCAGAGAGTGCCAACAGTTATTAGTCAGATGTTGAGGAGCATTATGCAATCAGCCTTGTTCCAACCCATCAGAGGGGTCATATGAGCCTCAGGATTGGGGGCCACCCAGGGGTGTGTGTGTATCTTTGTGTGTGTGTGTGTGTGTGTGTGTGTGTGTGTGTGTGTGTGTGTGAGAGAGAGAGAAAGAGAGAGAGCATGCGTGTGTGTTTATGGGAGGTGCAAAGATGCTGATATGGTTCCATTTAAGTTGTGTCCCTCTTCGTCTTGTAAAATGACTTCATGGTGGACATTTCACTCTGATGTCTGAGCTGTTTAATGACCTTTTAAAAAAACATACACATATATTCTAGTAAGTATTATAACAATTATATTTTTAGTAGTTTTTGTGGAAATTTAAACAAAAACACACAAATATTTAAAGGAATACTTGTGTTTTTCTGTCATGCATCCACACTGAACGAAGAATCCAAAAACTGAGAAAGTAGTTGAACTCAAGTAATTGCGCAGTATAATACTAGTCTCATTTATCCAGTCATATGTTCAGCACTTCTCAAACACATGCATTGTCATCAACATCCGTCAGATTTTTAGGAATCTTGGTGTTATTTTGATCAGGCCATGCCTTTTAATCATCATGTTGGATCATTGACAAGTACCTGTTTTATTCAGCTTAGAAATATTGCAAAGCTCAGGTCTGGTGTCTCGACCTGAGCTACAGATGATTATCCATGCTTTTGCGTCCTCCCGACTGGACTACTTCTAAACAAATCTTCTCTGAATCGCCTACGAATAATCCGGAACGCTGCTGCTAGGTTGTTAACCAGGTCCAACAGGTCAACCCACATCACATCAACCCCATTCACTTTAAGATTCTTGTTCTCACATATAGAGCCCTCTACGGCCAGGCACCTGAATATATTAGTGACCTCCTCTATCCATATATTGTCAGTAGGTCCCTTAGGTCTTCAGCAGAGGACCTACTGGAACAAAAGGTCATTGTGCCTTTTAAGTAGCTCCAACACTTTGGCACTTTCTTCCATTACATTTACAGTCAGCGGTCTGTTTAGAAATTTTTAAAAACAACAACTGAGGACCTATCTTTTCAAAATGGCCTTTGCCCCACCCTTAATTGTCTAGTGCTTGTTATCGTGGTATGTTTCTGTGTGAGGCCTCACTATCCTGTATTTGCTCTATGTTTTACTTTATTTTTGTCACTTTGTTTGTTGTTTTTGTTGTATCGTCTTTGTTTTTACTGATTGCGTGTTTTAGTGTTTGATTGACTGATATTTTTTGAAGCACCTTGTAAATGTCATTTCTGTGAAAGGTGCTATATCAAAAAATGCTATTATTATTATATTAGCCTATATATTTTCACTAAAAGCTAAGGCTACTATTTAAAACACTCCTGCATGAAGTAACTTGCTTGCATGAGACTGTTTATGTGGAAGTGTTTTGAATAGTAAAGGTTTGTTGAAAAATGCATGTGTTTGGGAAGTATTGAGCATATGACTGGATAAATGAGACTTGGATTATACTGCATGTGTGAGTTTGTAAATGGATGTTTTGATATAGTTTTGCTGTCAAATGTGGTCACCTATGAGTTCAGTTCATCAAGAAAATGAATTAGTTTTTTGGATTCTTCGTTCACCACGGAGGCATGTGGGACAACTAAGGTTTCTTAGGGGGAGTAATTAATACACAAATGATCAGAAAGTCACCTGTAATCACTTTAAAGTTCATCTGGGAATATAATAAGAATATTGATACAGTTTCCAGTGCAAGTCTTGAAATAATATCTCAGGAGATAAATACAGCCTGTCAGCTCGAGCTTCTTTGTTCAGCTGTTGTCTGTGAAACTCACAGCCTATAATTAACTGTTTCTCTGTCAGTGTGTGTGTGTGTGTGTGTGTATGTGTGTGTGAGTGTGTGTATGTGTGCTCTCACCAGCAGATGGTGCATTTTTATGAATCGCTCACTGCCGGTCGTGTAGAGGCGGAGTTTTCTGTGCTACTGTCGACGTGCATTCGGCGGGCAGCAGGCAGAGGGCAGCAGGCTGGGTCCATCTCATCCCTACTGGATCACAGGAGCAACATCATCATCCACCATCCAGCCTGACAAGGACAACCCCTCCCAAAAAACACACAGGGACAGGACAATATTTTGATTTTAAAAAGGAAATCGCATCGAAAGCGGCAAGATGCTGGCCTGTACGGAGATGATCACCATGTGTCTTCAGTCTGCAAAGCACGAATACTTGAGGAAACAGCAGGAGCTTGAACACAACCAAAATCAAGCCATCTCTCTCTTTCATGATGTGAGTATACAGTGGTTTTGTGACGTTTAAGTGCCTTCAAGATTCACCCTCTTGTCATCTGTCATTAATAGAAATCCTTTAGAAATATGTCCATGATATGTTTTGCTCACGACCACCTCTCAGAGGGTCGTGTTTCAGAGGCGCAATATGAGTAACACACCGTCATCCTGCTCTTTATGAATGGTTCACATTGTAAGCCTCCCATTCACATCGGGCTTGATGTGCAGCATTATGTAAGAAAGGTGAGTGCGTGCCCATTAGTGCGTGAATGACAAAAGAGATGCCACAACACAGTCATCTGACATACAGCTGCTTTGATTCATTCATTCATTTCATTTAACCTGCAGAGCTTTGCAATGTTTTCATGTAGTTGTTTTACTTGTTTTATATCACAATGAGGCTCATGACATTGGTTGTAGCTTGCATAGTGTCTATATTAAACATGATATGGTATGAATTTTTAATGAGCAGCCTTCCCCCCACACAGCTCCAATCAAACACACAAAAATAGATGTTAAATGTTGAATAATTTAATCAGGGTTTTGATTGCACGGTTGAAAGAGGGTTGGATTTACATGCACATGAATGTTTTCTAACTCTGCTTTTTGCTATGATATAAAAAAAAATAACAGGTGATCCCTCCACATAAAAAACAGCACTACTAATGCAGTGCAGTATCACAGTGTATTTAGAATCATTGCTTGATGTTTATGGCTGCCCTGCCTCTGGTTTACTGAGGGCACAAACACAAGACAGTGTATTAGAAGCATCATTTCCCAGCCTTAGACTTCCTGACAGCTGGCTGTAAATAAAATTCCCCAGTTTCCTCCAGGCAGATTATTGGTCAATGAGGGGAACATTAGACTGCAGCAAGAACGCATTTGGTTTAAATGCAGTTAGCATCCATTCTCTCCAGCCCAAGGCTGCCTCACATTTCCTCTCTGAACCTATTACAGTAGCTAATGGATGGTCATTTATTCTTTAACAGCTGCAGAAGTTAAAGGTGTGATCACTAGAGGGTAACTTATCCAACATCATTCACATGCACTGTTGTCTTTCCTCATTTGTTCCTTTATCTCGTTGAAGAAGTATTTCACTGTTGGAAATAAAAAGTAGGCTGTCTGTGCAGTAGAAAGACACAAATTGGTGCTATATGACCAGAGAAAACAGAGAAAAGGCGCTGTGGCATTTGCTTTTCGTCAAAATGTAGAAAACCTACAACTACCAGAATGCATTGCGCCACACCAACACACCCGCTGGTGAGTGACGTATCACGGAAAAAAGAAAGAAGAGGAATAAACAAAATGGCAGCTGGCTGGTAACAACATTTACAGCTGAAACAGTGAGCTTGAATATGTTTCTGAAACTATTTTTACGTGTGAAATAGCAGTAACGTAATTGTGGTTCATATTTTAGCAGCGCTGCTTAGATTTACAGCTTGAGGTCGGTGTTTTAGCCTCCATTTTTACCATACAAAAACAATATGGCGCCCGCTTAACTTTCACAAATTCTTGTAGCTATTACAGTCAAAAAGGTGCACTAAAATGTGTCTTAAAATATTTTAGGAGTGAAATAGGCAATACAATAACAGAATAATGGTTTATATTCGATCAGCATTGATTTGTTTTGCCATTTAATCTGAGTTTGGTCTGAGTTTCTTGTGTCAGTGGCGGTGTGTTGTGTAACTTGTTAGCTACGAAAATGCGTAAGTAACATCACAATCTGTCTGCAAGGTTAGTTGAGAGATAAGCAGGGTGATGTGGGTGCTGGTAAGATGGAGGGTAGTTTATCACAGTTCCTTTGCACATATTACCCACATCATCAGGATACAAAGCTGGCTGTAAATCTGCAAAGTATCTTTTTTTTTAATACCTACGCATAGACTGTATAAATAATGGACGTAGTCACCGTGACGTCACCCATCCGTTTCTGAAGAGTGGATTTGAAGCTCAAAATACTCGGCTCTGGGCGTCGCCATCTTGGCAGTGCCTGAATCCGCCCAACTCCCGGACAATCAAAAATGGGCAAAGAGGCGGGCCAAAGGAAGCCTGGTTGCCTAAACACGCCCACCTCGCTCGACGCTACTAAGTTAGCTAAGGCTAACAAGCTAGGCTAAGAAGCTACGAGGCTAAGAAGCTACGCTACTTTGGCAAGCCCTGTGGTGTCGGCTTGGTGCCGCTTGGTGCCAGCTCCTTCACGAAACTTGAGGTAAGTTGAGTCTACCTGAAACTAACGTTATACAACAAATCTTGAAACAATGATTCAGCTGTTATTCAGATTACACAATCTTAAAAAAACGCTTCAACATTTTTAAATATAGAACGTTAACTAACGTTAATTATGGTAACGTGACATTGATAAAAGTCGAAGGGGACTGAAATGTATCTGTAACGTTAACGTTACTGTTATCAACAGTGCATTGCGAGATTATCATCTAGAACATGATAAAGAAATGTAGAAATTGTGAAAGAAAGGCAGTGTTATAGTTGTTACAAGATGTTAATTTCTTTCAGTACATCACCAGTGTTGAGGTCATGGCCACTTGTTAACGTTACGTCTCCACCACGCCTGCTACACACAGCAGAAACTCTAAGTACCAGTTTTGGCTACTTGACTTTAGACAGCTAATATTACATTGTCTTCCAAGGACAGAAAGAAAGCATTTAAAAGACTGTCATCTACATTTTGAGGTGTTGCTCCCTGTTTTATTTTATCCTACAGATGTGACGTAATAGTATTGTCAACAAAAAGAAGTGATTCACCCTTTATAGTTAACTTTCTGTTTTTAATTACCTC